TCATCTGCTGCGTTACCGGAATCATCCTCAATTGAATATTATTACACAAACTCCTGGTAAAAGCAACTTTACACGCTTACCAGCAGAAAGGGAAAAAAAAAAAATAGTAAACCTTACACTTCCATGCATTCACAGGAAAAACCCTATTATGTCACTCTTCAATATTCCATAGATGGAATCATACATACCCACTCATTTAATTCTCTCTCTCTCTCTCTCTCTCTCTCTCTCTCTCTCTCTCTCTCTCTCTCTCTCTCTCTCTCTCTCTCTCTCTCTCTCTCTCTCTCTCTCTCGTTTTTTGTTTTTTGTTTGTTTTAGGGGATACCCGCCAACTCATTTCAATTGTATAATATATAATAACAAAGGCAGAAGGTGACTCAAAAATGCTGTACGCACTTAATAATAGAACTCCTCCATTAAAAACACAAAACACAGACGGAGAAAACGAGAAGTAAAAGAAAAAGGAAAAAACTTGGCTTTGTACTCTCTTGCGTGCAAATAATTAATATAAATACCCCAAGTACACATATTACTAAGTAACAACTAACATCCATGCAATAGTTCTTTTTTTTTTTTAATGATTTTTGTGCTCATAACAGAGATTGGATATACACATGGTCGAATTTTCAATGTTTACATTTTCATCATGGTTCAAATATAGAAATTTGATGATGTAGTATAATAAAAATCTAATTTCATTAATTGTCATAAATGTTGATGTAAATTACTTAATTTATTATAATCGTCATATCAATATCTTATGGTTAAAATAAAGATACTCTTCAATGGGTGTTTATACCCGTTTTTTCACAAGACACACAAGCTTAGTTCATATCCCGCAATATGGCTTAAGGTACGGTATGTGAACCCAAGCTATGCTTCGGAGATCTTCAAGAGGTCCATGATTTGGAAGGCTAAGGACCATAAGCAGGTCTATATTATTCCGTCCAATTAGATTCATTACCCACTTGAGAGGTCTCAAGTCTTCGAAGAATTAGAATAATATGGGTTATGGAGGAAATTAAACCAAAATCTGACCCAATTCCTTTAGCCCAACCTTTAAGAATATTATGTGAGCTTAATCAGCTCAAGAAACACCAAGGAATATTCTAGGAATATATCTTGTCTGTTGGTTTTGAAAATAGTTTTCTATATGCAGAAGTGTGTATCTAACGGATCATATATAATAAAAATTTTAATAAAGCTCTTGAGATACTTTATAGAATACATTAATTTATGCGCAAATAAATTAATTTATGAATAAATTTACCTAGTAAATGATTAGGTCGATAGCTCAGAGTTCAGCTAGTTCACGAGTGGTTGGGTTATCTTTCTCTTCATTCGTTTTCCGAGCCATATCGGACCGTTCGTTAGTCTAATGTCTGCGCTAGTTGTCCTACAATCGTTAAGTATCATGTGAGATATTTTTACTTCACATCGTATCTAATTCAAGAAGACATTCAATCATTCTCATAAGGTCAAGCAAGCGTAAGTACTCTAGTAACACCCGATTAAATTGATTGAGATTAATTAATCTAACTCAGTAATTATTGTTAATTAACCCGAGATTAGTAAAAAATTTTCAATTAAAAATTGTCATGTAAAGAATTTTTCCTTTTAAAAAAAAGATTATTTTAGAATTGACGTTGATGTTCCCCGAATAGATTTAAAGTATCACTAGTTAATTTTTTCGAACAGAAAAGATGAGTCATTTCAAATTTTAGTTAGATTGGACCTTGAATCCAGTATAGTAAGCTTGTATTGAGAGTCCAAGCCCATTTTTCCATTCTTGCTTCTTCCTTTTCCTTTTCCTTTTTTTTTCTTTCTTTTTCTTTCCTTTCTCTTTCCTTCCACGAGACATTTTCTCTCTCACTCTCGTGGAGCTCTCTTCTACCCGAACTCTCTCTCTCTTCTTTTCCAAATTTTTTCTTCAATTTCAAAATTCCATATCTCACTTGTTCTTGATCGGAATTGAGTGATTTTCATTTCTATGAATTCACAACGGCGAGGAGAACGATATGACATCCAAATTGCATGTAAAAAATCCATCATGCCCGATAGCTCACCGGAGCTCCGCCGCCGCCCACGCCGTGAGCCGCCGTTTCCGGCGGTAGAAGTCGACACTACATGATTCAAAATGTTGAGGACGACGTCGGGATGCTAAGCCCTCAAGAAATTTTAAGGAAAGAGCTTCTATGTTTGAGGTAGGGGTTTCTTCTTCGTCTTAAATTTTTGGATTTAAAATTTAGTGATTTCTTGTCTAGCTTTGTTTAGCTAGTGATTGATCAAAGGAAATTGTTGAGTACCTCTTGAAGTTATGAATTCTTTTCTAATTTGGTAAAATTCCTGAATTTTGATGATTGAGTTTCAAGAATTAAGTTTTATTGATGAAAAAGGACTTTGAACTTGGTTTATGGAGAAGTATGTTGAATTACTTGAGGATTTGAGTTTACAACTCTTGATTTGGTATACTGGATATGTATAAAATTACTTTCCATGAGTTATTGGTGAAGGTGATTCAAAATGCAGGTTTTGGGCAAAGTGTCTTGCTGAAACAACAAGTTGTTCCAGCTTGCGGAACAGCTTCGGTCGCCCGGTGCACTCCACCGGCTGACCGGTGGAGTTGCACTTTGCTACTAGCGGTTGACCAGTGGCAACTAAACCCACCCAAAAATGTTTGAAAATCAGTTTTAAGCCAGAATTTTCTATACTTCTCCAATTATAACCATGTTTAAGAATGAGAATATATTTCTCATCCTTTTAAAAGTGTTTCAAGGAATTCTACTTTTTGGTGAAGAATTCGATTTCTTTGATAAGAGAATTTAAAAAGATTTTTGAAAAATCTATGAATAAATATATGTGGAGTAATCATTCATATATGAAAAACCTTCCAGAAAACTTGATATTCGCGAATCATAGTTTACGGAAGTGAAATTTAGAAAAGAAAATATGTCTCGAATTAGAAATAAATTCGAGCATGGTGTATAAACATGTAGAGCTTGTGGCACTGTTTTGATAAGCAATTCGCTCTTGAACACTGACCTGATGAGCAATTAGATACTTAGTGTGCTTGATTACCTGAAGAGTAGGATATGGAGATTGTATCCTTGGGGACAGGACTCAGAACCCGCGCAGGGTGTATATCGGGTTAGCACAGATGTTAGACTTTATGTCCGGTACTATTAGAGAGCATTCTAGTTACCAGTGTTTGACTTCTAGTCTTCTCCTATGAACTTTAAGTTTTAGAATGCTTTAGAATTTAAATGGAATTACAAGTACTTTGTACTTGTTGATTACCTAAAGGATTAGATTCCTTGTATTATTGGAAATGAATTTGAGAAAGTTTTAATATTTTAAAAAGGGTTTTAAAATACATGGTTATCCGTTTTATTCAAAAGATGTCTATACCTGCTAAGATTTTCAGTTTTGAGTTTACTCCTAGCAGGTGTCAAGGTTTGTGATTGAGGATTTCAAATACTTAAACTATTGTTTCTAAAATTGTTTTTCATTGTAATCTACTCTTATCCTCCTACTAGGCATTAGGCCCACCCCTGTTTTAAATTTTTTCCCCCTCCAGAGTTAGTAGCTTGACTAGCAACGTGGCAAGCTGATTGAAGGCTCGAGATACGAGATGGCTTATTTTAATTAGAAAATTACAGTTTTTTTTTAATTCTAAAGTTGTACTGTATATTTGTATATGATATGTATGGGTTGACATTGTCCCTGAGATGTGTAAAGTTTAAAGTTGTGAACTGTTTTGATATTATTTGTAAAAGAAAGTCTTCGGAGTAAAATATCTTGATATTTATGTATTTATTTTTGTGATTTTCGCTAAACAGTCCAGTTTAATTAAGTTAATTTTCTTTAATTAAATTCTAATAATCACAGTCCCATCTTTGGGGTCCCATCTTTGGGGTCATGACATACTCGCTCTCATACTAAGAGTCCTACCATTTGGAAAGTTGCTCAATGGTGCTAAGTGAAGATAACCATGCTAACTTTAAAATCATGATGTCACATATTGAGGTAGAACTTTTGGGAGAAGAACTAACTGCAAAATATTGACCTTTAGCATTTCTAAAAACAGTCGACCATCATCCTTGCACATAACATGAAATAGAAAACAACATAATATCGAGTCTAAACAAAACAGCCTCAATAGGGAATAATTAACCAAAATGTTGTAACCGTTCCATATTCGGACTCAAAAACATTCACCAAGTTTAGAAATTTAGAAACAAACTAAACATCAGGATCCCAAAAGTTCTCAAAACGAAATAAATCAGGCTCAACCTCGTCCCATATATTTATTATAAGGCTTTTCTAATCAGAACCTTCCTCATCCATTGATGGATCAGATTCCTCAGGGGAGTTGCTTGGAGAACGTGACGACCTTAACTTTCGGTCATCATTTCTACATTCACACTTAGCATTTCCTATCTTCTACTACTTTGTAATTATAACCTCTTAAAAATTCAGGCTAATTTTTATTTCTTTCAATAGTAAAATTGATTCTAATAATCTTTAGCGGAATAAAACATCATTCAATAATTTTTATAAAACTCGAATATCAGAAATTACTATCTTGAAAACATTTTCAACTTTTCTTTTAAAACCTTAAACTTGTACTCCTTACTCGTAGTCATGCATTTAACCTATCATTCGTATAACATTACCATTCATATGCCCTTAATGCAATAGCATTTTTACTATGCATGCCATAATGCTATAACATTTTAGATACATTAAACATACCTTGTGACTTGAGGTTGCTATGCATAGCTTCATTGTCTAGTATACCTTACTTTCATTATATAACTCGTCTACATTCGTAAAATAATATTTACTTTATGCACATAAGACTTAGCAGCATTTTCAAAACACATGATGTATCCACTACCTACTTGCCCACATGCCATTGCTTCATCCTTTTCCACACGCCCAACAAATAGCTTTAGAGAGCCGATGTCTTACCCGTGCTTTCTACAACTTGAACAAACCTAATGAGCTTCATAAAGAATTTGTTTCTTAAAATTTTCATTTTCTAGAACACAAATTCTTCCTCGAAATATGACAATTCCCTTATCAGATACTTTGAATTTCGTCTCTTTTCTTTCCTCAATTTCTTTCCAATATTTGTCAAGAGTGGGATCTTGACGTTGAGCTTCTGCCATCTTGTCAAAAATAGATTGTCGTATTTGTAAAGCGGCTAATTTGCCCGTAACTAGCTCCAATCCCAACAAACAGATATCCTTCCGTAAAGGTGGCTCAAATTTGTCAAACGACAGATTGCTTAATTCTGCCGTTTTGCCACTTAAAGCGCCAGCTACGCTATTGGCTTCTTCATGGTGGTAAAGGATTTCACAGTCATAGTCCTTTACTAATTCCAACCATTTGTGTTGCCTCATATTAAGTTCTTTCTGAGTGAAGAAATACTTTAGGCTTTTATGATTAGTAAAAATCTGACATTGAGCACCGTCATGGGCAAAATTTTGTCAATCCGGATGCGGAACGGGTATTTGTAAGTAAATTTTAAATTTATTTCTTTTTTCATATTTAACGTAACATATTATACTATTTTTATTCATTTTTATTTCATTCACCTTTGCATGCCCAGCTGTAGGGGGAAAGAACCATGAAGATGACACAGTCTGCTGGCGAAGGTTCATCCACGACGTTCAAGTGCTTCCACCTGATCACTGCTTCACAATCGGAAAGGTCATCTTCGGTTAAGTTGCCCCAGCATGTCCAAAATTGGCTGAACAATCTCTACGTTGAGCAATGCAACATGTTCGACAACCAGCAGATCGTGATGGAAGTCATGCGTTCAATAAAACCCAACATCAATTTCTTGCAGTTCACCATCCCCAACTGTTGGTTCCTCTCCCGCCTGAGCAAAACGGAGAGGACGACGATGCTGCTAATTTAAAAGATTGAAATATCTGTTTTTGTTTTTCTTTTTATTAATACTTTTTAGTATTTCTTAATTAATTTACTTTTTAGACTTATTTTATTATTGTGTTGACTATTTTATATCAATCTTTTATTAACAAATATCAATTTTATTGTTAATTTTTCTTCTAATTTATATATTTAATAATAATTATTATTAGGAAAGTACAGTAAAAAAAAGAAAAACAATTTTTGCAACAACTAATCTAAAAAGTCATCGCAAATAGTCCACATTACTAGCGACAACACTTTGAAGTCTATGGCTGCAAAAGGTTTTAAAAAGCTTTTGTGATGACATCTGTCATCGCAAATAAGTTAAAGACATGTCATCATCAACAACATGTTCAACGGAACATTCGTGATGACCTGTTCGCGACGACAATCGTCACTAATGTATTAGCGACGACATCTCAAAACTATGTTGTCGTAAATATTTTATTTGCGTCTAGTTTTTTGTGGCGACTAATCATGTCGTCACAAGTATAATATTTTTGACGACAATACTGTTATTTGTGACGACATTCCGTCGTCACAAATAAGCTTTTTTTGTTGTAGTGACTTGTATATTTCTTTTTTAAAACATGTATATTTTCCCTTCAAAACGTGTATATTTTTACTTAAAACATGTACATTTCCTTTTATAATTAAATATACAATATATCTATATTTTAAGAGGAAATGTACACGTTTTAAAGAGAAAATATACATTTTTTAAAAAAGAAATATACAAGTATCGCTCCAATCCAATACCGAACTGGAGACTTGGCCTATATATATATATATATATATAGATCTGCTATAATATTGAGAACGGTAAGAGTGTGTGGTAGCAGTCGCATAGAATGCTTTCCTTTTGATATATACACAGTTTTATCTCTTTTGTTTTTATTTTTGGTATTTGGTTATAGAATTATTTTATTTCTTTGACCATTTGAGTTTTTACTTTTGGGTTAAGAGATTTTAGGTGTACTTAAATTTTAGGTGTTAAGAGATATTTGACAAGTTTTTGTAATCTTCTTTGGTTGTAGTTAAATTTCTAAGTTGTTTCTGTCTGTAAACATGGCCAAAACCGAGCCACGTTAAATCTTCATGTCTTTTAAATTTCTCTATTTTTTTATATTTTATCCTAAATCAGTTGAATTTGGCATTTTAACACAATAAAAACAAAGCCAGACACAAAGCATTATGCTTATATATATCTTGATTTTCACTACTTCTATATATGTAATTACTTCGTTTGATTACTGCATGAGAGGCTGAAATTTTGCTTATTTTGCCTTTCAAAATGTTTATACATATGCATCTGACTGAAAGTTAGATTTTGAACTATTTTTATGCATCTGACTGAAAGACGGTAGATAATTATACCTTAATATTTTAATGTAACTAGCTTTTTTTAATTATGACAAACGGGAAAACAATAAGCCTAGCTAGTCAGTTTCCACGATATTTCTAGCAAAATTAAAGTCAACTTCCAAGATATTTCTAGAAGTCAACACCGTTGGGGCAACCCTTCTCTCTCCTCTTCTCACACGCATACCTAAAATGGAATTCATCCCTTGGGGAACAAATCTAATTAAGAAAAAGTTACTTTGGCTATCCTCCCTCCAAATAAATATATTTCAATTTTTTCAAAAAAATAATTCAAGATTATTCTTGCCCCACACCAAACAACCCCCCTCCCTTCTTTTAATACAAAAATGTCCTTCTTTTAATACAAAAAAGTTTTAGCACCTTGTGTTTTTCATAACATTAAAATATTTTGTCTCATTTTTTAAATGGTCTAAAATTAGAAACAAAATATATATCGAAAAGATAGTAAATAATATCCTTCTATCCAAATATTAGTAAATGAATGTCTCAGAATTTTTTTTCCCACCTTTAGACCAATTAAATAAAAAGGAAAAATGAGTATACAGGACATTTCATACGTAAGACTGGGTCTTGAATGATTTTTCGACTAGGTCACCTAACCCATTTCATATAAATTAGTGGAAGAAAAAAATGGAGAATTTATCATTGAGAGTATATGAGTCTGGACTTTTACTTTTTACTCTTGATAAATACCATTTTGTTAGTGTAATTATTTGACTAAAAATGTTATGAATCAAGAGTAAAGGGTAAAAATTTTGATCCATGCATTTTCAGGGAGTATTTGTCAAGATTACCCATAGTGAAATTTATTAGTGGATCTATCCAGGGTGAATCCCATTTTTTGAAAAAAAAAATAATCAAATTGTAATATATATATATATAGAAAAAAGACAGAAATAAAAAACATTTGACAATGATTTGCTTTATAGTTTATTGATTGTCATTCCTCTCATCTCAGCCATCAAGAAACCAGAGCCTTTTTTGTTTAATATCTTCTCATTTATCATCCAAGTACCGTTGACCTCGCGAGGGGCGCCTGGAGGTATTTGTGGTTTCTCCTGCTTTCTCATTTTCGTTTTCTACTCCTTTGAGTTGTAGATGCTTTTACTAAGTTATTGTTTGACCTTCTCGGTTTGATGGAAATTTTAAAAAATAAAAATAATCTCTTTACGTGTTTATTTTTGTCATGTTTGTGGAGACATGCTATTGTTGATCTTTTGATTTGATCTAATTGGGTAATTCTTTCATATATATTGTGAAGATTGAGTAACAAAACATTATTTGGTTCTTCATTGTTCTTTTCAGCTAGTCTGTTGGTGACAGATTATGGAGATTCATAGCTTTATATTATTAGGAGATTCATAGATTCATAGCTTTTGGTTCTTCATTTATCTCATTCCCTTTCTAGTATTTTCTAAAATCAGAAATAACAATATTATCAATGTAATCATATATAATCCTCGTAGACAATTAAACAATCATTGACTACATAATAATTCATTAGGAATTCATTCCTTTTAACAAGAAATCAATACTAAAGGGAATGTAAGGATTGACATTCTCTTTTCTCATTCCCTATATGCTCCACTACTGCTGATTTTATAAGTAAAAACATTATAATTAGATAGGAAAGGGAATCATTCCTCTCTTTCATTTTCCTTTTTGATGCAAAGTAAATATATCCTAAATCTCAATTTGGGAATTATTGATCATGGTAGCTTTGGTGAATTTTTATGAATGGCTTCAAGCAATTTTGTTCTATTGGGGATAGTTTGCTCAACTATTAATGGAAGGGAATAACGTACTGTTAGTACAACTACTGATTACTGTGATTATTTTTTCTATACGTAGAATCATACACATAACAATCCTAACAAGTATCCTCATTTTTCGATATATTATTCAGAGAACTAAAATTCTGATTACTATAAAAAAAGGTTTGTCAACTTAATTAGGTTCATATTTCTCTCCTGCCTTGGCTCTCTGGACACCTTGGGGCTCATAACAATTAGCGGTTCTTTTAGTTTAGCAATCCATCCCAAAAACTTAAGTTTAAGCTGCTAAGAGGCGGACCGACAATAGTTTTATATTCTAACAGGTTCTTCTAGCCTCATATGTTTCGGACATCAATTCAAATGACTTTCGGAGGTTTTATGATCCATGTAGCAGCTGTGAGGTACCTCTCCCAAGTTGGACAATTTGAGTGGTGATATTAATTCCTGTGTGGCGGCACGCTTTAGTTATACATCAGTGAAAGCTGCAAAACAAAGAAGCTCGCATAATGGCCATGTCGGTATTCGAGTTTAATTTGTTAAGAAAAATTTTCTTTTATTATTATTATTATTATTATTATTATGTATCTTATTTAACTTCCAATACTCTTGTATTTGATCATTTTGTAATTCTGTAGAGACCGGATATTCACCGCAAGAGCTGATGTGGTGAAGGCATTGCACGACGGCGTTTTCTTCCTCATTGGCGCTTCAGTTGCGATCCTTCCGCTGAAGCAACAGTCCCCATTCGAGACACACTACTGGACCATGGTGGCCTTTCTGATTGTTGTTTGTATCTATGTCGTGACTGGACTAGCAAGCATCAAGTTCAGTGGTTTCGCCGAAGAGGTGACCACAAATGTGAGCCTGTTATCAGGGTTGCTTGCTTCCCTATTGTTGTTTCTCATCATGGTCCCGGCTTTGGGGTGGGCCTGTTTGGTTTCATGGACGCTTTACGTTGTCATAGTCACATATAAAATGCTATCTAGTGGACATCCTCAACAACAACAAGACAATCAATGTCATGATCTTGAGAATCATGTCCCAATTCAGGTAAATATGCTTATTCGCAAACTAATTAGGACTACAAAAAAGCGGCGCTCCTCATGAGGATCCCTGGTCGCTCGCTATGCATTACGGGGAGGGTGTGATTATTTTAGCCTTTTAACTCATGTATTTTTGGTTACCCTAATTTTTGGCGAGGTACTGGTTTTGGGGTTAGGGTTAGAGAAAGAAATAGAGAGTGCGATAGGCGTGATGTGTGTGATAGGTGTGATATATATACACTGAGGGTGAATCAGTGTATATAT